TAGGCAGTTTCGTCATGGTTGATTTTTTAGCTGACTGACTCGAGTGGGTGTGGTCGGTTTCCTGATACTCGGTGTATCACCTGGCTCTGCGCTGTGTTGCTCATTACAGAGTCATCCTTCATCGTACTGTCTTTTGCCTCGTGTGCACAGCCGGCACCTCACTTCCCATCTACACACTGAGTGAGGCCGAACTTTTGACACCGAGAAAGTAATCAAGTTATTTGGTATTTAAACATTTTCAGAAACCATAAAAAGAGTGAAATACCACTTCCAGATATCTTATTAAGTCACTCAAAAATTGAAAGGGAACCAAGTATAAGATCTTACACATGAAATTTCGTTTACAAAACTGAAACCGTTCTCAAGTTATTGTGTTTCCACAGAAACAAAATAACACTTTCAATAATCCGAAATTGTTCAAAAGTTGGCTAAAACCTGCGCATACAAACTAAAACTTGTACGTGAAATTTAATCTACCTAACTTTTTAAAAATGGTACTTAAGATATCGGTAGTCCAAACTGGCTAAAAAGTGCGTTTTAGGGTCAGTTTTTGCTGTATTCAAAAAGAAAAATTCACTACTTCGAGTTGTCCTATAAGAATAAAAATTATATGTCGATAAAGTTTAAGTCTTTATCTGTCGTAATCTGGTATTTTTATATCTGTAACACATATTTGAATGTGTTTTATATTTGTTTGAAAAGTATCAGTTACGTCAACAAATTTCACCGTTTTGCGAGTACCGATCGACCCACACTGTTTCATTTGATCGCGGCTTCGCGACGAAGCATCGTAGAAGCATAATCAGAAAGGTTTTTCACAGAAGCCAGAGCAGGGCCTGGCCGGGACGGCTAGTATTTTATAAGTATTTAACCTTCGTTCCCTGTAAATAATTGAGTTCGTCCACATATTAAACAGTATTGTCTGGTGGCCATTTTGAATTTGTCGATTCATAATTTTGACGCGATAGTCCAGATAAACTTTAGTAATACGACCCTATCATTAATCCCATTCGATAGATTTTAAAGAATTAGTAAACACTAGCATCTAATAGTTAAGTGCATCCTTATTTTAAGTCCCTAGAATGTCCTGAATTAAATAGCTTCACGTCTAAACACACTATGTGTACATTTTAAAGATCGAATTCTAGCCTATCGTTTGATGTATAAATTGAAAAAATAACTTGTTTATTTCATTTTAAAAAATCAGTTTTTAAACTTTAAATGACGATATATACAGGAAAACAAACTAATTCTGTTTCAATTTTTACACCGTTGTTAAGTTCACTTTTATAACTACTTTGTGTTGTAAATCCAAGTATTTCTGATTAACGGTCGCGAAGCCGTGCCCTCAATAAACAAATAGACCTCCAGCCGACTTTCAGCCACCGAGTGATTAGCTCGCCGAATGGTTTTAAAGGTTGACGACCGATGATGCTAAACGGATTTTGCTCTTGCTAGAGCCTTCAAACAAGTTGTAAGTATCATTTTTAAAGTTTCATTTCCATTTTAATAAATGAATTTTGTTAGTTTTAATGTCAGTTTGGTTTAATGGACACCAGTGAGTTGACGAGAATCCTTCCGTAATGTTGTTGACATGGAATAAAAATGTGCTTTTTTAGATATAGGACCGTAAAAATAATAAAAGATACAATTTTATTAAAAATTTAAGCCTAAAATTAATTCAGAAATTTAATATTTTTTAGAATCAATGCTATACAAGTTGCAGATCCAGAGAACTTGAAAATAATTTGATGAGTTTAAGGTTTCATTTCTATTTATTTTCATCAAGCCTAAGTTATAACCCGATGTTTCACTTTCGTAAGACAAACATTGATTGGCTGTACAGGAACTCCGTGATCGATTTCTGGCAGCCCCACTTTATAGTTTTTTGTTTACACAACTTTGCAGATCAAGTTTTTAAATAACAATGCAAATTAAAACACCATGACCTAGTTTTTTTTTAGCTTACAATGTGTACAATAGAATATATGGCGGCCTATCGAATAACAGGATGGCATTGTTTATGTCGACATTACACGTGAACAACAAATTGTTTTTGCTTTTTTTTTTTATTATTTTATTTAGTTACCGAAAATATTAAAAACATGAAATACATCCAATCTTTAGTAAAGTCTGAAAAAAAACCAGACAGACAGGATTTTATAACCATATTAATTGTAACTACGCCGTGCATGAGTTTTAAATTAATTTATGGGCCTCTCAATTTCCTTTGAGACTTTTCTCGCTGGTGTCCATTAGTACACGTTTTTAATGTAAATTTGTGAGCTACTAGTCCACGGTTTTAGCGTGTGAACTACGCTTGTACACATAGTGTGTTTAGACGTGAAGCTATTTAATTCAGGACATTCTAGGGACTTAAAATAAGGATGCACTTAACTATTAGATGCTAGTGTTTACTAATTCTTTAAAATCTATTGAATGGGATTAATGATAGGGTCGTATTACTAAAGTTTATCTGGACTATCGCGTCAAAATTATGAATCGACAAATTCAAAATGGCCACCGGACAATACTGTTTAATATGTGGACGAACTCAATTATTTACAGGGAACGAAGGTTAAATACTTATAAAATACTAGCCGTCCCGGCCAGGCCCTGCTCTGGCTTCTGTGAAAAACCTTTCTGTTAAAGACCGTTACCTGTGTGTTTAGTAATCATCATAAACCCGGCATTGCCCACACAAACCACAACCAACCAAAACAACAAAATGCAAACATAATGTCCCGTAACGCCCGCTGCCGCCCGCTTAAAATACGCATAGAAAAATTAAATTTGTTTCATTAAAATTTGGCCTACAAATCCTAATTTTTAACTAAACAGGAAGTCGGATAGTTTCAGCTGCCTTTTCCGGTCTTATAATTTCAATGGCGCTTTTGAAAGATAAAAAATAATTGTTTCTTTCTATCTCGAAATTTTAGACTCATCTGTCCTTTTTTTAGTAGATTTAATATTAAAAATAAAATAAAATAATGCCTCTAAACGTATCTAGGCATGTATTTTATGAATTATTGATCTTAAACATAACCAAATTGATATTTAACTGTTAAATTCGATGCATAGTTGTTTAGACAAAAATAAATAAAGTTGACTACCGAAAATGACCTGTTTTGAATTTTCTCCGACATTTTTTATTTTTTTACTGTACTTTTACCGAATATAATATATTTTATTTAATACTGTTGGAAAGCCAGGTTAATTCCCAACATTAAGCAGTAGTTTTTATCTTAATTTTCAATTTCATTTAGACAAAAACAAATATTTTGTGAAACTATTCACTTGATCATACAGAGTTATGCTCCTTATATTGGGCCGTCATGGGTGGAGTTTTGGTAGAATGAATGGGACATTAATGGTTAAGTACTACTAGTACAAGTAGTACTAGTAGTATTTCTCATTATTTATTTATTTTATATGCATATAGTAACAATGAAGGACAGCTAAGTAGTCCTATAGGATGTTGAGAACCACATAATGGCACCTTCATCATTGGATATCTCAACCATTGTGGCACAAGCAACGAATATTTCATTCAATTTCAATAGAATTACTATTAAAAATATACTATCAAGTATAAATTACTTTTAACAAAAAGGTGTTTTCAGGCTTTTTCATGTTTCCAGTTATAGTCATAGGACAAATAGTAGGCTAGTAGTAAATTTAATTATATTTTATTAGTCACTAAATAAATTTATTAATTCCATAGCTGGAGACATTTATGGTGGCCTATCCAGAACTTTCCTTACAAGGGAAAGGAAGAAGGCCAAGCCCCCCCCCCCCCCCCCGCCTACAATTCCCAAAACATATCATTTACTGCTCCACAAGATCAAGGTTGAGAGAAACAAGACATACAAAGATGTGGAGTTGTCGTTTTAAAAACGGTTCCCCCAAAGCAGTTATCAACCCAATAGGTTTGAATGTAGCATCCACTGCTGCATCACGTCTTTATTAGATTACATTTCATTACATTACTCCAGAGGCGTAGCGACCCTTCCCGGCGCCCGGGGACATACTTTCAATTTGGCGCCCCCCTCGGGAGCAAATTTTCGATTTGCACCCCCCCTCGAACTTTTCATTTGCACCCCCACCCCCCTCGAACTTTTTTATTTGCACCCCCCCCTCAAACTTTCAATTTGGCGCCCCCCCTAAGGTCGGCGCCCGGGGACATATGTCCCCCCCCCGCCCCCCCCCCCCCCCTCGCTACGCCTCTGCATTACTCCACTAAATTTTGATTCTGTTTCTCCTGCACTAGATAACTGTTGCATTTTTTAAAAATAATATTTTAACTCATGTGATTTTTGAAAATAATGAACACATTCTTCCTGTTAATGTTACCAACACAATAGTTTTAGAGTTAGTCTATGTCCAAAGCAAAAAAAAAAAAATTGAATTGAAGTGACCAAATGCATTTTTGTTATTTTCCATTATTTTTTTTTACCTTAGAAAAACTCATTTTAGATGACTGAAAAAATTGGGCATATATATTACAAACTTTGCAGTAACTTTACCAATTTCTACACTTCTATGTAATTTAGTTTAGAAAATATGGGTTCTCAAAAATGGCACTTTTTGAAAATAAGTTTTTTACCAAATTTTGCTTTTTTAAAAATCGCATAACTTTTTTATTTATTGAAATATTTTTATAAAATTTATGGCATAGAGCTTACAATTAAAAGTTCTTTCATGACATACTCACTCCAGAAGTATGCAATCAATAGTTAATTTTAGTTTGGACTACCTATTTTAAGAGACCAGAAGTACAGTACATACAACGTACGTTTAACTGATGTCGCTCAAATGTTGACAGAAAACTGCAAACATTATGAAGTTTTTTCAACACAAATGAAATGTTACTCAAGTTATTGTGTTTACTGAAACACACACATACACACAACACCACCCACCACACCACAGACTCAAACACACTATATACACCACTGCTCTAAACTCTGTATACAAGTAAGTAAAAAAATAAGTGTCTGGTCATTCTGGATTTATTTAGGGTAGAGGTTTTTAAATTATGTTCAATGAAATGTGAGGAATCTGTAATACATTAACCACATTACTTAAAACTTGTAAGGCTTCTCTCCATGATGAATTCTAAGGTGTGTATTAAAATTACCAAACTGGGTAAAACATTTACCACATTGGTCACACTTGTATGGCTTCTCTCCTGTATGAATTAAATGGTGTTGCTTTAAGCTACACAAATGGGTAAAACATTTACCACACTGGTCACACTTGTACGGCTTCTCTCCTGAATGAATTAAATGGTGTTGCTTTAAGCTATTCAAATGGGTAAAACATTTACCACATTGGTCACACTGGTACCCGCTTCTCTCCTGTATGAATTAAATGGTGTTGCTTTAAGTTAACATTCTGGGTAAAACATTTACCACATTGGTCACACTTGTACGGCTTCTCTCCTGTATGAAACCTAACGTGCATCTGTATTTGATCAAGAGTTGCAAAACATTTACCACATTGGTCACACTTGTATGGCTTTGCTTCAGTATGAGTTTTTAGGTGTTGTTGTAAGCTATGCAAACGAGTAAAACATTTACCACATATGCTACATGTGTAAGGCTTCTCTCCTGTATGAATTAAATAATGTTGCTTTAAGCTACAAATCCGGTTAAAACATTTACCACATTGGTCACACTGGTACGGCTTCTCTCCTGTATGAATTAAATGGTGTGTCTTTAAGCTACGCGAATTGGTAAAACATTTACCACATTCGTCACACTTGTACGGCTTCTCTCCTGTATGAATTAAATAATGTTGCTTTAAGTTAACATTCTGGGTAAAACATTTACCACATTGGTCACACTTGTACGGCTTCTCTCCTGTATGAATTAAATAGTGTTTCTTTAAGATACGCGAAGTGGTAAAACATTTACCACATTCGTCACACTTGTACGGCTTCTCTCCTGTATGAATTAAATGGTGTTGCTTTAAGCCACATATCTGGGTAAAACATTTACCACATTGGTCACACTTGTACCGCTTCTCTCCTGTATGAAGTAAATGGTGTTGCTTTAAAGTATTCAAATGGTTAAAACATTTATAACATTTGCTACATCTGTAAAGCTTCTCTCCTGTATGAATTCTATGATGAGAATTCAAAGTACTAACGTGCTTAAAAGATTTACAACATATGCTACATTTGTAAGGCTTCTCTTCTGTATGAATTCTAACGTGCCTCCGTATTCCAGAACGAGATGTAAAACATTTCCAACATTGGCCACATTTGTAAGGCTTTTCTCCTATATGAATTAAAAGGTGTACTTTTAAATATTGGAGGTTTGTAAAATATTTACCACAATTGTCACACTTACAATGCTTTTTCCCTTTATGAATTCCATGGAGCTGATGAAAATTAGATAACTGATTAGAATGTTCACTAGTGTCAACTGTGAAATCTAGATTCTTAATGTCAAGGTTTTCCCCTTCATGTTTATCTTTCAAATGCAAATTATAATGGGAGAGTGTTGAAAAATCCAATTTGCAGTGCTGACATTGATGGAAATCTGAAAATATTTTCATAAATATATATGACAACATCAAAAGAACAGACTGTCTCAAAATGACATGGTGTGGCCAAATTATAGAGTGTATGACTGCTAACCAAAGTGTAAAGTGGGGTCAGTAGGATGTTCAGCTCGGATGGGTACCTAACTGACAGTAAGGAAAGTAAAAGTGAAAGGGCATATTGCTGACCATTTAATCCTTTTTTTTTTGCCCAAACAGGTAAACTCCACTTTATCTACCCCATGGATCGCCAGCTAAAAAAGGTTTACTTTTTAAAATTACAGTTTAAAAACTATAACAAGCAGAGCTAATTAACAGTATACTGACAGAGAATGATATTTGTTTGACATTTGCTTTGCTATTATTTTGTATTGTCTGATAAAGTCTAGCATGAATTGTTAAAGTTATTGTCATGTGGTAGAACAAATAGATTTTTAAAGATATTGGTATTGTTAGATAGCAGACATGTATGTACTGAAAAAAAAACCATTCTATTAAAATAAATGAGTAAACTCTATTTACCGCAGTCATTGTTCACAACACCAATCCTCTGTACCTGAATACTTGGGTCTCTGGTATAATTGTCACCATGGTACATCTGAAAAGTTCAGAATACTAAACTATACTAGTTAACTGTAACAAAAACATTCATTAAACAGATTAAACATGAATGGTCAATTTTTTAAAATTGCAACTATAGACACAAATCTAAAAGCTAATAAACCTCTGAAAACATAATATACCACATTGTGTCATAAACACTTGAATGCTTATCAGTGGCAAAAAAGGAAGAAAAAAGGGCCCCTGAAACAAATTTTTATCTGCCGTTTTATTATATAATTGCCATCGGTTTAAATGTTATATTCATTTGAGAAAACAATTTGTAAAACGCATTGTGCTTAAGCACACGTTTAACGACATTAGTGATAAAGAAAGGAAATAACTAAATAGCTAAAAATCCGACACATTTAAAATAACATAGGCTACTTATCTATTTATCATTCTGAAATAAAAGTAGGGCTGAGGGTGTAATAAAATTATTTTCTTTATTTAAATTGCTACTTTAATTATAAATCAGGTTTTGCTTTTCATTTTTCATTTAAAAAGCTGAAAAATGCTGTAATGCTTACTAATTATTATTATTTTTATCACTACTTTCTGTCACTATCAATAAGACTTAAAAGATTTCCTTAGATTCAATATTTAAGTTAGGTTTGTGTTACAATACTTAAAGTTGGATTCCTTTATTGTCTTGGTAGACATAACTTTAAATGGGTATGATATTAAGTTTAGGTGGAGATTGGGTGAGTGTAATTAAATCTCCAAATGATAAAAAAATAGGCTTGGTTTATCATACTGCTCCATTAAGATATTTGAGTCTAAAAAAATAAGGAATGTAATTTGTGACATATTTTAATTAATCACGTGATTGTGTGTAAACAACATGTTAATTACCCAATGTCATTTTTTACTCCCTTGTGTTTATTATCAATATCTAAAACTTGATTAAGAATGTCTATTTGGTAATATTATTTATTAATATTATATAATATTTACATTTTTCGGGCAAATGGCATTCGGGCAATATGGCTTTCAGGCAAATGTCCATTCAGCCATTTGTCGCATTCCGCAAGTGTCCAATCTTGAAATTGGCCTTCTCGCAAGTGTCTTTCAGGAATTTGTATGGACAAATTCGGTACAGGTAGACAGCCCTGCATTTTACTTTATACTATTTTTGTACTAATTGCCCTTTATTATTATACTTGACCCACCAGAGGTACAAGTATTAGAGACTAGGCAAGGGATATAATGCAGGTTGTGGTAATAATCAGTTATAATCTCAAAGCAGCAGTGGTATTTTACCTTTGAATCTGATTCAATCTTTAAAGGGACATGTTCAGTGCAGTATCCCACGTATTCTATGTTGTCCACAGCATAAACTGAAACACAAACGTCAAGCATTTAAACCACAGACTAGGTAGAATGTAGTTGCACAACAAAGTGACTTATCAAGTATTTTGCATACATACATCAATACTATTTTTAAAAATCAGATATCAATGTTTTGAGCTTTGTTAGTAGTGGTAGGATCTACTATCATTAACTGATTTAAGCAAAATTAGATGCTGCATCCTATTGGTTTTTTAGGCAAAGTAAAAGTGACCTCTAATAATTTATGATAAATAACATAATAAAAAGTGACACTTGCAGAATTATTGACACTCAGATGTAATAGTAAAACTTTTAATCTAGATGAACTCATGGGCATTTTGTGAATTTAGTTTCATAATCAGTCTTAACGGCAGTCAATATATGAGTCACCTTTTACTTATTAGGCCTAGGCCTACAAAAGTTTAATGAGTCACCTTTTTTTTAACACTATATGTGCCTAAAACCATAGATTACCACTTCTTAAAGTTGTAAATATTATTATTAAGAAGTGACAACTCAGAAAAAGATTTTCGCCCCAACGCCTCCACCCAGTCAGCAAAAGATAGCTCTGCAAATGCGCAGTGACCTGCGGCTAAGGTTAGGGCCCGTTAGGGCATAGGGGTCTGCATCGGCCTTATTATTATTATTTATTAAATTTCGATTTAATAATTAAATCGATTATTATTTAGTTAGAACTAGATCTACATGAGAAAGAATGAAAACATTGAAAAACTTACTCAGTCTTCAATGCCTTTTGCTAAGATTCTAAACCTAGATTCTAGATCTAGAATCTGTGCCTAGATCTAGGTTCCACTCCTTAAATTTTAATAATTACTATTAATTACTATTGTATTAATTAGGGTAAAGGAGGGCGTTAAGAGCCGTGTGGTATTAAGCCCCAATCAACACCCCACCCCCACAAAACCCCCAATAACACTGCTAATCTATTTCTGAGGTAACAACCACTGCTGTTCTTTGATAACAGAGAAGCAGAGGATTCATTTTATGTAATTTATGACCCACTTGGTCCAATAGGGAGAGGATGAGACAGGATTTAATCCCACTGCTCTTTCCCTAAAATTTCTCATCTCCATAAAACCATTTTGTGAACTTTTTTTCCAAATAGACATAACTTGGGAAACTTCACTTTGTAATAAACCAAATGAGTTTTTCAATCCCATTCTTTGTGCCTGTATTAAAGCATTGGTTGTTGTACATTTTAACACTATTTTTATAGCTATAGCTAGAATAGTTTTATTTTGGTGAATTTTTTTTGCACAGTGATTATTGGTGCCAAAACAAAATGGCCGACATTTGTCCCATTTTACCATGCTATAAAGTTTTTATCATTATCAGAGTAAAACTTGACTGATCATTACCATAATGGTTTTATTTGTTAGATAATAACTAAATCTACATGAATACATTAATTTTGTCCACTAGCTTGCCTGTTCAGAAAAGTTATAACAGATACTGTTATGTGGCTCTTGAAACCCTATGTGCAAGTTTCTCATTTATTAGACCACTGAATATGACACTGGTATAGGAATAGTTAACACAAAATGTATTAATTGTTAAACAGAATTGTGTCTAAATGATAGAAATACAATTCTAACCTGCTAAAAAGTAAAAATTCAGCCATCTGATGTTAGCCAGGTAAATTTTAAAATGGTACATGTACTTATTACCCCTAAGGGGCAATACAGCCGACTCAGCCCCCACCTGTTTCTAACCAACCATAAAACTTCTAATCTCTTTGTAGGTAACAGGAATAAATGTTCTTAGGTCTCAGCCAATCTGGGGTGGTATGTTATGTAATTTATGACCCTCAAGGTCCAGCAGGGAAGTAAACAGGCACATTAATAGCACTGCCCCCCCCCCCCCCAATTACGATTTCTTACCCCCATGATACCCAGCCCCCACCAGTTTCTGGCCCACCGTAAAACTTCATCTCTTTGTAGGTAACATGGATTACAGTTACAGATCTCAGACAATCTGGGGTGGCATGTTATGTAATATAAGACCTTCATGGTCTAGCAGGGTGGAGACCAAAGAGGAATCAGTACCACTGCTCTCCCCTCACAATTTCTCACCTCCATGATAGCCAGACCCCACCTGTATCTAACCCACAATAAAACTCATCTCTTTGTAGGTAACATGGATTAGTTCTTAGATCTCAGCCAACCAGAGATAGCATCTTCTTATGTAATTTATGGCCCTCAGGGTCCAGCAAAGAGAAAAAAGGGGAAACCAGTACCACTGCTCTCCCCTCACAATTTCTCACCCCCATGATACCCAGCCCCCACCTGTATCTAACCCACCATAAAACTTATCTCTTTGTAGGTAGTATGGACTTAGTTCTTAGATCTCAGCCAACCAGAGATAGCATCTCCTTATGGCAGGAAACAGATTGGTACCGCAAAATGCATATTCGGTCTTCGCCGTTCATAAACTTTCTAACCAGACATCGTTCGGGGATTTTGTTTATACTGATAAATAGAGCAAGGTTTTTACAAGCTTCGTTAGCAACATTTTTGTGGAATTCGTTTTTTATGACATTTTGTGCCGCGGCGAAGGATGCGAAGTATGCAAATCTAGACGGAATGGATCTACTTGGAAAGTACGTGTACTGCACTAATAAGGTAAGAAATAATATTTTGTAAAAATAACTATTATTTTTTTATGGATTTTTCATTAGAAATGATTGCTGTAAATTATGAAAGTAAAAAAAAGTATATTTGAATGCGTTTTTTACTTTAATTTGAACAAAATGACTGCCGAAAATTACGACACATCGGCGTCGCTGAAAGCGGGAATTTCAGTTAATTTTTTACGGATATAAAATTGTATTTTTTTACTCCGAAGCATGTATTTAAATAACAGTTAAGTTAAATCTATTTAATTCTGTAAAATATAATTATTATTTTGCCGTAGATACTTTTTTTTTTTATTTTTAATGATTTTCTGTCGCGGAAAATCGGTATTCGCACCATGCACGCACACGTAGTAAAACTAGACTTATCTTTAAAACACGAGAATCTTGAGTACACTGCGAATAACAAAGTTTTTAAACGTTAGTTTACTTTTGACTTTAAGCCATTTGTTTTAAATCGAAATTAATTGATAATGTAATTATTTCAAAGTAAAAACTTTCCGTCTGAAATTGGCTTCTAACCTTCGCCACTGAACCAGCCTACGCACGACATTCGCGCGAGTCTGTTTCTTCGCAATAGTCTGTATAGTGTCGAGGGCTAATCCTAAAAAGAACCGAGTCCTTACTAATGTAATGTTTATTAAAATTAGGTACAATTGTTGGAACACATGAGAAATAACAAATTTAAATTTCTTCAAATCTATAGCCAAAAGAAAGTAGAACTTTATAACTCTGTAAATTATGAATCGAGTGACGGCTGTCGTGAAAACGGGAGCCATTGTACTCTTTTTTTTAGGGTGACCTACTTTTATTATATAAATTTAAAATTCGAAGATTTGATAAGCAGCTGAGTAGCTGAATACGCATGCGATATGGCTGGCACGTTTTGGGATAGGGATCGAGTACACCGTAGAAATTTTTTTTCTTAGAACTACGCGTATTTTTTTTTTAAATCAAAAGATACTTACATATTAGCTGTGGATTTCAATTTCATTACAGAACTAATCACTAACTTTAGTTTTTAAAAGTGATTTTGCTTCTAGATCTAGCGTATTTTCAAAATTACGTAGATTCTAGATCTAGATCGATTTTACTAACTATTTGACAAACGTGTCAGTAAAATGAGGTCACCGCTTCCAGATTCTTAGGTTTTAATTATGTTTGTCATTTTGATCTATTATAAGTAGCATTAAAACTACTGCATCTATCATCAACATTGTTTTTATAGGCCAGTTCTAATGATACATTCTGTTCATTACCAATTCTAATGAAATCGTATCAGGCCCTAACTAACACCCTGTTCACTGACACCACACTATTTGAATGAGGCCACAGACAGTCGTAACTTTAATTTATAAAGTACTAAACAATTATAATTAGCCATGTAAATGCTGCAACTATAATAAAAATTGGCATATAGACATATTTTACTAATAATATTTTTTATATAGACCTTCTATATTTAACTCTGTTATTTTTTTCTTCCCCAGAGTGTTTTTAAAAGCCAGAATTTTGAACATTTTTTAAAGGGGATAGCGGTCGTTTTTTTTTTCAAGAATAATTATAGAAATAAGCTATAAACTGGTATATTTTGTAAAGTTTGACATAATTACAAATAAATTTATGCCTAAGTGACATTTCTGTGTAATTATATTGTAAATTTTGTGAATTTCGTGGATTTTAGACCTTACTACATTTAGATGTAAAAAAAAAATGTCATTTGAGTGAGTGTGGTTAATCTAAATTTTGAACGTGATGTAAATGTCTAGTGCTATTAATTTTTATATTTTTGAATTCCTCGATTGTTAAGCAACAAAATTGATATATAATATGTCAATATTTGTTACTTTGAAAATTGGCGAAAATCGACCCTAAAAGTAGATGTTTGAGAGTTGAATCTGTTTCCTGCCTTATGTAATTCATGGCCCTCAGGGTCCAGCAAGGAGAACAAAGGGGAAACCAGTACCACTGCTCTCCCCTCAACATTTCTCACCTCCATGTCATGTTATGTAATGTATAGCACACATGGCTTATCAGGGGAAAGCATTAAGGCAGATTAGTTAGTACCACCCCTTTTTACATACAAGAATGTTAACTCTTAACAGCTACACACTATTATACTAGCTACACACTAGGCATACTAATGTGCCTACTGTAAACTACTAGACTGTAGGCCCTATGTACACCTGCAATTGTATCAATTGTAGACTGGGCCCATTGGGGCCTAGTGATAGCTAGATCTAGTATCAGTTAAAGTGTGTGTACACAGCATTAACTATTTTGGGGTTAGAAATTAATTATTTTTATTGCAGAGTTAGTCTAAACTGGGAGATAATACTTATTGCCCCATTGCCCGGCTCCTTTCACCCCAAATGCTGAATTCGGGGGTATGACAATAAATGTTCAATTAAACCCATTTAGAGTATATTTATTAGACTTTGTTATTATTTTTATATTGTATAAGATATGTTAGAATAATTTTGCTATATTCTCATTACTAAAAAATTCTTAGATTAGTAGAAATCTTTAAAAATGTACAGGTGCTAAAAAGTGTGGCTCTTAACGCCCTCCTTTACCCTACTAATTAATAATTAATGGACACCAGCGAGAAAAGTCTCAAAGGTATTTGAGAGGTGTATAAATTCATTAAAAAATCATGCACAGCGTATTTACAATTAATATGGTTATAAAATCCTGCCTGTCTGGTTTTTTTCGGACTTTACTAAAGATTGGATGTATTTGATGTTTATAATATTTTCGGTAACTAAATAAAAATAAAAAAAAAAGCAAAAACAATTTGGTTTTCACGTGTAATGGCGACATAAACATGGCATCCTGCTATTGGATAGGCTGCCATAGATTTTATTGTACACATTGTAAGCTAAAAATAGAAAACTAGGTCATGGGGTTTTAAATTTGCATTGTAATTTAAAAACTTGATCTGCAAAGTTTTGTAAACAAATAGTTATCGATTACTAAGTTACTGTACAGCCAATCAATATTTGTCTTACGAAAGTGAAACATCCGGTTATAACTTAGGCTTGATGAAAATAAATAGAAATGTAGCCTTAAACTCAACAAATTATTTTCAAGTTCTCTGGATTTGCAACTTTTATAGCATTTATTGTAAGAATATAAAATTTCTAAATTAATTTTAGGCTTAAGTTTTTATTTTTTATTTTTTTTTACGGTCTAAATCTAAAAAGCACGTTTTTATTCCATGACAACAACATTATGGAAGGAATCTCGTCAACTCGCTCGCCTCCATTAGGGGTCCTATTTCACATTTTGAGGAGGATTTATGTTTTGAAAAATACAAAAATGTTTCCTTGTTTCATTTATGTAGGCCTACCTGTTTTTAAACAATTGAATTACAAGTTTTCAGTAATAAATGAAGACTAGATCTAGCGATGTTTCCAACAGATGCAACCATGCTCATTTACTGTAGCAGCCATCTTGGTTTTTTTTTTGTAAACTTAATAATATAGCGCAAGATTCAGGGGAAGCCACTCTAACTTTCAGAAGGCCGCTTTTTATATAGATCTAGTAAATCCTGCTCGCAAACACTGCTGTTTAAAGTTAATTTCTTACCTATATTGATATATTAAGCCATGGGTTCCCAACCTGAAGGGCTTTATGCGGGGTCACCAACTGGGAGACTAAACTCTAGCAATGAATTAAAAACATAAATAATTAGAAAAATATTTGATATTCGGCATTACTAACATCACTGGAAATGGAATAGAGAATAAACAATTTGTACTGTGCAAAGTTGTTCTTAATCACGAGTCTATGAAAACTTACAAACGTCATTTTGAGACGAGTCATTCGGAACACACCAAAAAAGATATGCAGTTCTTTTGTCGGCATGAAGCTAGTTGCAATCGTCAGAGACTTGATCGAACAGAACGTTTTCACCAAGAAAACACAGCATTAGTCATGATTAGTGCAAACATCATATGAAGTAGAGTTAGAAATTGCCAAGCAAAAAACCTCTCACACAAAGGAGAAAATCTCATCAAACCATGTATGCTGAAGATGGTAAAATTAATTCTTGGGGTTTCCTGTGCAGTAAAGATGCAACAAATAGCTCTAATAATACTATGCAGCCAGAGCCGGCGTTAGGAATACGCGGGGCCTAGGGCCAACCATCCGCGCGGGGCCTTTCCATTATATATATATATATATATATATATATATATATATATATATATATATATATATATATATATATATATATATAAAGGCCTATATAATGTGATGTACACATAATAACACAAATGTTTTGGAGTTTATAAGCTAATGCCAAACTTTCCACTATAATAACAGATTTTTATCTCTCCCATGTATTAACCAAATATTCTTAGTTTTTTTCCTTGCTAAGATATTAAATCACTTTTGACAGTTATGTAATTCGTACCAAATCACTTAAGAAAATTTAATCACGTGCGGAATAATTAGGAAAATAAAGTTTACAATACAGCGAACTTGGTCTGATGTATCAAAACAGTATAGACTTCAAATTTTTTTTAGAATTCATACAATATTTTAAAACCAAAATCATTATTGTCTTAACTATTGTAAAGGATTTCCCTACAATAAAAAAAATGTGCTTAATCACTCTACAAATGCAGTTAAGTTCACCAAAGTATCAGATATAAATTGAAAGTCCGCGTTTATTGGGGGAATATCAATGAATACTAAATCACTCCCTTCATTGCCTCAACGATGCCCCTTCCTCCATAAAAGTTGTGCGACGAGGACAATTCGCTGACTATATCATGTCAGCACCACTGGAAGACGATTGAATAAAACAATTTGGATGAATTCGGTAAATTAATCATTCTGTCTTGGAACGGGTGAATCCTTAAGATGACGACACAACATAACGACAGTTTTAACTTTCTTCCAAAAAATAATAATAAATCACTATGTTTAATGCCGCCTGATATAGATCCTAAGCCCCCCCCCCCCTCCTCGTCGCCCTCCTCCCACCCTTCTGCACGCAACTGAATGTTAATTTTGTTATACCAAGACAAGTAGGCCTACATATAGAGTTTCTTCCAGGCATCTCTTCGGGGGGGGGGGGGGGGGAGGGGGCAAGCCGCCTTGCCCCCCCCCCCCCCCCCGAACGAAATGAAATTTACATAATTTATATAGAAAATATATACTTTTAACAGTGTCCGCCCCCCCCCTTCCCCGAAGAAAGTCTACCGCCCCCCCCCCCCGAAAATTTCAAATGCCACCCCCCCCCCCCCTGGAGTAAAAAGTCTGGAAGAAACACTGTACATATACGACATTATACGACATCTACAACAAGAAAGTCAGGACTAGAGGTCATCAGGTCACTAACTGACTACTACAGACATCCCGTCTGCTCACTAAAAGGACGTCTTCATCGGTCCGCATACAATAGGGTATCTCTTTACGTCGTGGGCTAATTCTCAACCGCCATCTCCAGTCAGCTCAGGTCAAATGCCAGGCGACCGTACCCTACACAAAGGGGAGGTGTGACACTGTTTTTGTATCGAATTACGGCCTTTCCCAGTTCAGGTGGGACTCACCAACATCAACCGTGGCCTCAGTTATAACAATCAACAACGTCGGCATTCGACCATTTAGTTTTTCCCCATTGAATTCAGCAACAATTTATTTAAGTTTACGAACTAATTCAGATAACAATGACAGTGCTGAAGCGCGGGGCCCCTTCAAGCGCGGGGCCTATGGCGACCGCCCCGTTCGCCACCCCCTAACGCCGGCTCTGTATGCAGCGGCTTATGTTAAAAGACAAATTTAGAATGAAATCAAGCTTTCGACTTTCACCATTGTTCGATTTTCAAGTTGACGAATCGACAGGCGTGAGTTCGTGTTCGCAGTTGCTTGTCTTTGTGAAATATATTCATTCAGATGTTAGCAAATAAGAGTTGATGTTTTGTGAAGATATCATGGAGAAAATAAATACGTTTTTTGAAACTGGAGGATTAAAATGGGAAACGGCTGTGGGGTTTGTACGGATGGTGCGTCATGTTTGGGTCAAAATGGGGGTTTCAGAAAAAAGTAAAAGGTAAAAGATTTAGCTCCCTAATGAAGGGGGATCCACTGCATGATTCACATATGCACTCGCAAGCAAGACTTATCCGACTCCATTGCTAATAAAAGTCGTAAATCATATTAAATCTGGAGCCTTAAACACCTTTCCATTTCAAGAACTGTGCAAAGACATGAATAAAGATCACGAGGTTCTACACTTTAGTACGCTGGCTGTCAATATGAAATGTCAATCGTGTTTTTTAATTGAAAGATGAAACCAAGATGTTCTTGGAAGTGCAAGGAAACAAGACCTTTTGATATACTTCAACGACATGGTGTGGTTGGAGAGTGTATCATACCTAGCAGATATATTCGAACATCAACGTAAGCTTAACCTAATAAAGGAACGAATATTATCTCTTTTCAAGATAATCTCTTGGCATTTTTATCAAGGCTGCAAAAAATTGGCGAGGAAAAATAAATATTTGAAATACTGCCATGTTTGAGAAACTCTGTAGTGTGGTGTGATTGATAAAAATTTTAAAAGGATTCTGTGTATCTTGAATCTCTTGACAACAAACTGCGGCGTTATTTCTCCGAGCTGAAAGAAGAAGAATCTGCATTGTCACCCATTATCTGCTTTCCTTGATGTTACCAGCATTGCCGATGAATAACAAGAGGAATTCTTGAATTTGCAAAATTTAATTGTTAAGGCTAGTTAATGCTTGTTAATAGCATGTAATTTTGCTCATCGTGTAAAACAGTTATCAAGAATAATTCATATTGAAAGTCTACTAGAAAATATTAATTTAGTGCTTATTATTTTCATTACTAATTTCGACTTGTTAATTATATGGGGGTCGCGGGTTACTTACGTTTTATGAAAGGGGGTCGCCACTCGAAAAAGGTTGGGAACCACTGGATTAAGCCATTGATTGAGGTGGGTGTGGGGAAATTGCGAGACGCCAAAAGCGGACGAAGGCGCAATGGAAATTGGCTTCTTAAGGATGATCTTGTTCATCTGTATAGGGAGGAGCACACCAGAATTCCGCCTGCAGTTAACCCTGATGGCATAGTTGAAAGAATTAGAGAGAACTTACAACAAGAAGCAGCCTTAGTAACTGCACCCATAGGGAAGGACTGTTTGCCTGTTAGTTCAACTGTTGCGGAAAGGTCACAATTCGTGCTTGACAATGAACTTATAGGTTTAAATACTAAACTTTGTGTGTTCACCATTAAAGGTTCAACATACCCCAGGGTGGTCACCCTTTTCCCAAGGGAATATGCGGAGAGCAAGTCCTACTTATAAATAGCAGTGTGTTAGATCGAAACATTGCTGTTAAAATGTTTGATAATAGGCTTTCGTCTGTTTAAAAAAGAAAAATGTTCTCTACCTAAGTACTATTTTACAGCTCTACACACAGTGCAGATTCTCTCCTATAACCAAACGGACAAACAAAAAAAAAAACAAATAAATATTCAAACATGCAAACAATCTTGAGTTTTTGTAGTATATAGATAGATAGAAAAGGCACCGGTCAGTCGAGGTAAGTTTTGACCCCATCTTCGCGGACTTTGTAGCCAACCGGCACCAGCTCCCATGTTCTATTGCCCCAAGGCAGGAGCCTGCCAAACTTGAAGGGCCTGCAGCGCCGGGACTGTAATATATTGAGAATTGTGAAGTCAAGGGAACTCACTCTTCTTGTATTAGTCTTATATTTATAATGTTGGTTTGAGTGATGTCCCCTGGTTTTGTCTTGTGTCTTCCGGTTTCGAATAAAGCTAGAAACATCAACGTGGCTCTATCGTCCAGTGTGTAATAATAAAAACATCAATCCATTACATTTGGCGACGAGGATAGATCATCCACAGAAAAAGAGCACATGCTTACTTAAAAAGAAGCTTGCTAGAGCATATCGGCTAAGTATTTCTAGGATAATGGCGCTGTATGGCCAGATGAAAGAATTTAATTCGAATGACGAAACCATTCATGATTATCTGGATAGGTTAAGCTTTTACCTTGAAGCTAACGACGTGACGATAGAAGCCAAAAAGAGAGCTGTTTTGTTAACAGTCATAGGGCCTCAACAATTTTTTAGGCTATTAAAGGACTTATGCGCACCAGCTAGTCCAGCTACCAAGAGCTTTAACGAGCTGAGCAAACTGCTAACAGACCACCATGCGCCCGCACCACCCAAGTTCCTGTGTAGAACCAGATTTGACGGTAGGACTGGTCAACCAAACGAATCAATATCAGAATATGTTGCTGCTTTACGTCATCTAAGTGAATTTATTGAATTCGGGGACACGCTGTCTGACAGACTATGTGAAAAGTTTGTGACAGGTGTAAACAGCCCTGATGTTCAAAGAAAGTTGCTTCTCGAGTCAGATCTAACTTTGGAAAAAGCAATACAACTTGCAACTTCATTCCAGCAGTCATCCGAGGCAGCCAGATCGCTGGCGCCCTCAGGGATCCATGCAGTAGACAGCAGGTTAGTCAACAAACACCAACTCCATCAGAGCAGTTCAACTTATGCTAAACAGCCTGCAAGTTCAAATCCTAGATCGATGCAACGGTCCCCATGCATCTCATCGATGCAAGTTCAAGTCAGCAACTTGCTATAAGTGCAGTAAGCAAGGTCACATTGCCAAGGCCTGCTTTGAAAAGTCTTCGTCTGTTGCTAGATCTAGCCAGTCAAGACAGTACCGCAACCAAAGGCAGCACTATGTTAATTGTCACCAAGACAGCCTAACCCAACCAATGAACCACTCTACCAGTGAAAATGCTCAAACTGATTCGCAGCCGGAGTTCAACCTGTTCTCTGTGAAATCAACAAGTCATAATCCCATCAACGTACTAGTTTATATCAACGGTAAGAGCATCATCTTCCAACTTGACACGGGAGCATCTCTAACCGTCATCACAAAGAAGGACTTTGACGCTGTCACAGGAGGATCAGTGCCTCTACAGCCATGTCACAAGTGCCTAACAACATTCACAGGTGACAATGTTCCGGTGATAGGAGAGTGTATGGTTCATGTAAGCTATAATGGTCAAAGTTTTAAACTTCCTCTTCTTGTGGTTGAAGGAAACGGACCACCATTACTAGGTAGGAACTGGTTAGTTGATCTTATGTTAGACTGGGGGAGTATATTTTCAGTGAACAAAGCAAGAGAATCTAGTTTCACTTCAATAAATAAAGTTGTATCTGAAAATGAATGTGTCTTGGGTAGTTCAGGGTTACTAAATGATAGGACAGTGAAGATAAGCATTAAAGACACAAATTCAAGATACTGCAAAGCTAGAGTTCCACCTTATGCAATGAGGGATAAAATTGAAAATGAGCTAAGTAGATGGGAATCTAACGGCATCATAAAGAAGGTAGACTATTCCGATTGGGCAACGCCCATTGTGCCAGTGTTAAAGAAGGATAGTTCTGTAAGAATTTGTGGAGACTATAAAGCTACACTGAATAAGTAAATAGAGCTAAATAGGTACCCTATTCCTAACATTGAGGAAATTTCTTTGAATTTAGCAGGAGGAGACAAAGTCGCTGAATTAGACTTTAGTCATGCTTACACTCAACTAGAACTGCATCCAGATTCAAAAGTCTATACGACAATAAACACACATAAAGGACTCTACCAATATGAAAGACTATGTTTTGGTATATCATCTAGCCCTGGAATTTTCCAGGCTGTCATGGACAGTATCTTTAAGGATATTCCAAATGTTTTTGTTTACTTTGACAATGTGTATATAACTGGTAAGAATGACACTGAACATCTTAAAACACTTGATGCTCATCTTGGTTCTTCCAAAATGAAGAGCCTGGCACGATCGTGGTTCTGGTGGCCACATATGGATGCTGATATTGAAAAATATGTAAAGCTTTGTTCAAGCTGTGCACAACATTCAAATCAACCAGCTACAGAACCTTTGCAAAACTGGGACTGGCCAATCGAACCACGGAAACGTATACATATAGATTTCGCAGGACCCTTCATGAACAAAATGTTCTTAATTGTTATTGATTCACATTCTAAGTGGTTAGAAGTTAAAATCATGAACACAATCACTGCAAGTGATACCATTATTGAACTTAAGGAAATATTTTCAACTCATGGATTACCTGATCAAATTGTTTCAGATAATGGGCCTAGTTTCACTGCTCATGAGTTTAAACTGTTTTGTGTAGCAAATGGTATTGAGCACATAACCACATCACCCTATCATCCTGCTGGGAATGGTTTGGCTGAAAGAGCGGTAGGCATATTCAATACCGCTATGGTAAAAATGAGTACCGGTAACAAATTTTCTCTCAGGGAAAGAGTAAACAGGTTCTTAGCCAAACACCGCACAACTCCTCATATAACAACAGGTGTTGCACCATGCGAATTGTTATGTGGTAGGAAAATTTAAACTCACCTTGACCTACTACATCCAACTGTTCAAAGGTCTGTTTCCCAACATCAACATACACAAAAAGTAAATCATGACAAAACATTCATTGAGAGAGAATTTGGAGTTAATGATAATGTGTATCTGAGAAATTATGGGAGAGGGGAAAAATGGATGCCAGGTCAAATTGTTCAATGTACAGGACCTGTGTCTTATAAAGTAAAAACAAATGATGGACTTATTGTCCGTAGACATGCAGACCAGTTAAAAATAACTTGTGCAGATAATAAGTGTGAATCTATCAATCACCACCAAATCTGAACAGTTCACACCAACTCAGTTTGTTCCACAACCAAGTTCTGTTGATATGAGTGAACCAAGTAGTCTAGAGTCAGAAAATGTAAATTCTGGAATTAATGATTTAGATCCTGGACTTCCTGAGCTAGAGAGTCCAGATGGTCAGAATCTTGAGTCACCAAATCAAAAGCCACTGAGAAGGTCAAACAGGACAATCAAAGTCCCAGATAAGTTAGACCTGTGATTTTAAAGGTCAAGAGGACTTTGACATCATTGTTTTGTATTTTAATTATGTTGTAGCATATTTTGCATTTGTTTGTAAGGGTGTAATCTACCAAATGATTCAAATCATATAATGTTCATGTTACAATATATTTGGTGATTTTAGGATACTATCATTTGTTCTATTGAGAGCTGTGTTGTTGTTTACTAAGGGTAAAGGGATGTAATATATTGAGAATTGTGAAGTCAAGGGAACTCACTCTTCTTGTATTAGTCTTTTATTTATAATGTTGTTTTGAGTGATGCCCTTGTATATTATTATCTTGTCACTTCCTGTTCCTGTGTTTTCCATCATGGTGGCTGATTAAAAGATCTCTACACAACCAACGCGGCTTCTCGTCAGTGTATTATAATAGAACGGCCCAATCCACCACAGAATTAGTTTGTTTTCGTGTATATATCGTCATTGCGAAGCCGCAACCAAATGAAACAGTGTGGGGTCGATCGGTACTCGCAAAACAGTGAAATTTGTTGACGTAACTGATACTTTTCAAACAAATATAAAACACATTCAAACATGTGTTACAGATATAAAAAAACCAGATTACGACAGGTAAAGGCTTAAACTTTATTGACATATAATTTTTATTCTTATAGGACAACCAGAAGTAGTGAAATTTTATTTTTGAAAACCGCAAAAACTGACCCTAAAACGCACTTTTTCGCCAGTTTGGACTACCTAATCTAAGCATTTCCAATCCTATTTTCTTAGATGTGGTCAGCACGATGCCTAGCCGCCTTTGTTTCCCTAACATAAGTTAGGTAAAAAATCAAATTATCTGCCTTCCGACAAATTTTGAGTAATTTCCGTTGACCGGTAATAGTAATTTACGCTATTTCCAATTTCTCAAAAACGCATAATAATATTCCGCACTATTATGAACATATTGTTTTTCATTCTCTAGGTGCGCAATTATTTTTTGCTACGATGTGCCATCTCCCTTAGTTTTATACAAGAATATTCGAGAAAATTTAGGGCAAGTTATTCCCGGTTTATTTGTAAGTGAAATTCCAGACTTTTTCCAGACTTCTGTGGGAGAATATTCGACAAAATCAGCAGACAGGTCCTTAAGTCATTTCTGCTTTTAGAATAACATAACATAGACTGCCCCCCCCCCCACACACACACACAAAGAAACGCTCGTTAGGTCAAGCCGAGTTGACTTTAGCAATCAGTATACCTCAGAGGCGTAGCGGGGGGGGGGACATATGTCCCCGGCGCCGACCTTAGGGGTGGGGGGGGGGGGGGCGCCAAAATGGGTTGGAAAAACAAATTGACAGAAAGTTTGATGGGGGGGTGCAAACAAAAAGTTCGAGGGGGGGGGGGGGTGCAAATTGAAAGTTTGAGGGGGGGGTGCAAATCGAAAGTTTGTCCCCGGGCGCCGGGAAAGTTCGCTACGCCTCTGGTATACCTAGAGAGCTTATGTAAGTAAGTAAAGTTTCCCTTTCAAACCTGACGGTCTATGGGGCAAGTGAAGTAGAGCTCACTTGTTTCTGTGACCTCGGCATATGAAGAGATAGTGTGGTCAGCACTATGCCCAGCCGCCTTTAATTTCCCTAACGTGAGTTAGGTACCCATCAGAGTTAAGTGGACTCGGACGGTCTACTGACTTGAACCAGGATTCGAACTCGAGACTAACGGCTTAGCAGTCGAGCTCTTTACCGCTAGACCACCCGTCCCACAGAGAGCTTATTTAACACCCCTCAAAATTGCAGTTGATTTTTTCATTAAACATCGATATTTTTCCAAAATCTTGTCTCAACTCAGTCAAAATAGAGTATTTTAATTAATTCCTATTAAAACAGCTTTCTAAAACGCGAAATAACGTCTAAAATTCGTTTTCTAACTTTGCTTTTTTATAATGAAAAAGTGTGACATTGCACAATCTGATCCCCCCTCATCACACACCGTCACAAAGTTACGGACCCTCTTCCACCCTAAGAGTGTGACGTCATTTATGGACGACCACTTGCATAACTAAAACCTTTCTCAAGTTATTGTGTTTCCACAGAAAGAAAATAACACTTCCAATAACCAGAAATCGTTCAAAAGTTGGCTAAAACCTGCGCATACAATCTGATACTCGTAATTGAAATTTAATCTAACAAACTTTTTAAAAATGGTACTTAAGTTATCGGCTTTTAAGAGACCAGAAATACAGCACATACCACTTACGTTAACCTGATGTCGCTCAAATGTTGACAGAAAACTGCAAACAATATGAAGTTTTGTCAACATAAGTGAAATGGTACTCAAGTTATTGTGTTTCCTGAAACACACACAACACACCACCCACCACAGACCCTAACACACCATACACACCACTGCTCTAAACTCTGTAAACAATAAAGAAAAAAGATAAGTGTCTGGTCATTCTGGATTTATTTCAGTAGAGGTTTTTAATTTATGTTCAATGAAATGTGAGGAATCTGTAATACATTTACCACATTACTTAAAACTTGTAAGGCTTCTCTCCCTGATGAATTCTAAGGTGTGTATTAACATTACCAAAATGGGTAAAACATTTACCACATTAGTCACACTTGTACGGCTTCTCTCCTGTATGAATTAAATGGTGTTGCTTTAAGCTATTCAAATGGGTAAAACATTTACCACATTAGTCACACTTGTACGGCTTCTCTCCTAAATGAATTAAATGGTGTTTCTTTAAGCTACACAAATGGGTAAAACATTTACCACATTAGTCACACTTGTACGGCTTCTCTCCTAAATGAATTAAATGGTGTTGCTTTAAGCTACGCAAATGGGTAAAACATTTACCACATTCGTCACACTACAAGTGACTTGTACTGCTCCTCTCTTGTATGAATTGAATGGTGTAGCTTTAAGCTAGACGAATAGGTATAACATTTACCACATTGGTCACACTTGTAATACTTGTATCGCTTTGCTTCTGTATGAGTTTTTAGATGTTGTTTTAAGCTATGCAAACTGATAAAACATTTACCACACATGCTACATGTGTAAGGCTTCTCTCCTGTATGAATCATAACATGCCTCTGTATTTGATTAAGAGTTGCAAAACATTTACCACATTGGTCACACTTATACGGCTTCTCTCCTGTATGAATTAAACGGTGTTTCTTTAAATAATCAATCCGGTTAAAAGATTTACCACATTCGTCACACTTGTACGGCTTCTCTTCTGTATGAGTTAAATGGTGTTGCTTTAAGATACGTGATTGGGTAAAACATTTACCACATTGGTCACACTTGTACGGCTTCTCTCCTGTATGAATTAAATGGTGTTTCTTTAAGTAATCAATCCGGTTAAAAAATTTACCACATTCGTCACACTTGTAAGGATTCTCTCCTGTATGAGTTAAATGGTGTTGCTTTAAGATACGTGATTGGGTAAAACATTTACCACATTGGTCACACTTGTACGGCTTCTCTCTTGTATGAGTTAAATGGTGTTGCTTTAAGTTACATAATTGGGTAAAACCTTTACCACATTGGTCACACTGGTACGGCTTCTCTCCTGTATGAGTTAAATGGTGTAGCTTTAAGCCACTAATCTGGGTAAAACATTTACCACATTGGTCACACTTGTAAGGCTTTTCTCCTGTATGAATCATAACGTGCATCTGTATTTGATCAAGAGTTGCAAAACATTTACCACATTGGTCACACTTGTACAGCTTCTCTCCTGGATGATTTAAATTGTGTTTCTTTAAGCTACACAAATAGGTAAAACATTTACCACACTGGTCACACTTGTACGGCTTCTGTCCTGAGTGAATTGAATAATGTTTCTTTAAGCCAATAAACTGGGTAAAACATTTACCACATTCGTCACACTTGTATGGCTTCTCTCTTGTATGAGTTAAATGGTGTTGCTTTAAGTTACCTGATTGGGTAAAACATTTACCACATTTGTCACACTTGTAAGGCTTCTCTCCTGAATGAATTAAATGGTGTTGCTTTAAGTAACCTGATTGGGTAAAACATTTACCACATTGGTCACACTTGTAAGGCTTTTCTCCTGTATGAATTTTTAAGTGACTATATATTTCAGTAAGAGTTCTAAAACATTTCCAACATTGGCCACATTTGTAAGGCTTTTCTCCTATATGAATTAAAAGGTGTACTTTTAAATATTGGAGACTTGTAAAATATTTACCACAATCCTCACACTTACAATGCTTTTTCCCTTTATGAATTCCATGGTGCTGATGAAAATTAGATAACTGATTAGAATGTTCACTAGTGTCAACTGTGAAATCTAGATTCTTATTGTCAAGGTTTTCCCCTTCATGTTTGTATTTCAAATGCAAATTATAATGGGAGAGTGTTGAAAAATCCAACCTGCAGTGCTGACATTGATAGATATCTGAAAATATTTTCATAAATATATATGACAAATTTTAGGGGAATAGACATGGTGTGGCCAAATTATAGAGTGTATGACTGCTAACCAAAGTGTAAAGTGGGGTCGGTAGGATGTTCAGCTCGGATGGGTACCTAACTGACAGTAAGGAAAGTAAAAGTGAATGGGCATATTGCTGACCACTTAATCTTTTTTTGCGCAAACAGGTAAACTCCACTTCATCTGCCCCATGGATCGCCAGCTCAAAAAGGTTTACTTTTTAAATTTACTGTTTAAAAACTATAACAAGCAGAGCTAATTAACAGTATACTGGGAGAGAATGATATTTATTAGACATTTGCTTCACTATTATTTTGTATTATCTGATAAAGTCTAGCATGAATTGTTAAAGTTATTGTCATGCGGCAGAACAAATAGATCTTTAAAGATATTAGTATTGTTAGATATCAGACATGTATGTACTGAAAAAAAAACCATTCTATTAAAATAAATGAGTAAACTCTATTTACCGCAGTCATTGTTCACAACACCAATCCTCTGTACCTGAATACCCAGGTCTCTGGTATAATTGTCACCATGGTACATCTGAAAATTTCAGAATACTAAACTATACTAGTTAACTGTAACAAAAACATTCATTATAACAGATGCTGTGGTGTGGTAAAGCACTGCTAACCCAATCACTGGATTTTATTATACATGAATGGTCAATTTTTAAAAATTGCAACTATAGACACAAGTCTAAAAGCTAATAAACCTTTGAAAACATAATATACCACATTGTGTCATAAACACTTGAATGCTTATCAGTGGCAAAACAAGAAGAAAAAAAATTAATAAAAAAACGTTTTAATAACAAAATTTTATGTAGTAATGCACTAAAAAGTAGAAAATAAATTATAGACGTGTGTGGTGTGGTTGGATAGACATGCCTACTAATTCGGTCCAAATTTTAATTAAGTCATAAAAATTTATTAGGCATCCAATTAAGTCAAATTTAATTTCAGATTGCATTGTCTTAATGTCTTGACCCACGTGTCAAATGTGAATAGTATCTGTCAAGTAGAAGTGACTGAAATTTCACTCCAGTGTTTCGATCTAGACTGACGACTGACGACAGACTGTCGACAGAGGAAGTTAGTTAAATAAAAGCTTGTAAAAAATTCATAAAAAACGTTTTAATAACAAGCTTTTATGTAATAATGCACTAAAAAGTAGAAAATAAATTATAGACTACTATTTAAATAACTAGAAAGAAAAGCGTGGGTCACTTTAGTATCTATTGGATACCTTTACTAATGTTAAGGAAGACACCCACGCTTTTCTTTCTAGTTATTTAAATAGTAGTCTATAATTTATTTTCTACTTTTTAGCGCATTATTACATAAAAGCTTATTATACGTTTTTTATGAATTTTTTTTCAGTACTTTACATGTTTAATTTACAATAGAGTTACATGACTAAAAACGATTGCGCGCCTACTGAACTTGATGGCGCAGCCATTGAGCTTGATGGCGCAGCTATTGAACGCGATGACGCGTGTGTCTTGACCCACGTGTCAAATGTGAATCTTATTGGTCAAGTAGAAGTGACCAAATTTTCACTCCTGCGTTTCGATCTAGACTGATGACTGACGACAGACTGTCGACAGAGGTAGTGAGTTAAATAAAAGCTTGTAAAAAGGGCCCTACTTCACCCCTTGAAACAAATTTTTATCTGAATTAAAGGCCTATATATTTTAAATGTTGTACTCATTTGAGAAAAATAATTTGTAAAGTAGTTATTTGTAAAAAGTCATTGTGCTTAAGCACACATTTAACGATATTAGTGACAAAGAAAGAAAATAATATAAAATAACATAGGCTACTTATCTATTTATCACTCTGAAATAAAAGTAGGGCTGAGGGTCTAATAAAATTAATACAATTCCTTTCTAAATTTAAATTGCAGGTTTTGCTTTTCATTTTTTTTTTAAAAGCTGAACAAAACTATATTGTTTACTAATTATTATTTTTTTTATCACTACTATCGGTCACTACCAATAGAATTTAAAAGATTTGCTTAGATTCATTATTTCAGTTAGGTTTTTGTTACAATACTTTAAGTTGGATTCATTTATTGTTTTGGTAGACATAAGTTTAAATGGATATGATATTAAGTTTAGGTGGAGATTGGGTGAGTGTTATTAAATCTACAAATGATAAAAAAATTGGCTTGGTTTATCATACTGCTCCATTAAGATATTTGAGTCTAAAAAAATAAGGAATGTAATTTGTGACATATTTTAATTAATCACATGATGTAAACAACACATGTGTAAACAACATGTTAATTACCAAATGTCATTTTTTACTCAAAATCTCAAATTTTAATTGATATTATTTATTATTTAATATTAACAATTTTCCGGGCAAACGACATTCGGGCAAATGGCTTTCAGGAAAATGTCCTTTCTGCCATTCTTGAAATTAGCCTTCTGGCAAGTGCAATTTGGGAATTTATCATAGACCCAAATACACAAAAATTGTACGGACAAATTTATTGGTTATAATCAATTATAATCGCAAAGAAGAAGTATTTTACCTTTGAATCTGATTCAATCTTTAAAGGGACATGTTCAGTGCAGTATCCAGTGTATTCCATGTTGCCCACAGCATAAACTGAAACACAAACGTCAACCATTTAAACCACAGACTAAAAACAGAAGCTGCACCCTATTGGTTATATAGGCAAAGTAAAAGTGACCTCTAATAAGTTATGATAATAACATAATAAAAAGTGACACTTGCAGAATTATTGACACTTAGATGTAATATTAAAACTTTTAATCTAGATTAACTCAGGGGCATTTTGTGAATTTAATTTCATAATTAGTTTAAACAGCAGTCAATATATAAGCAACCACTAGTCAAGTACTATACTAGTCTGTCCCCTGTACAGCCTACAGGTAGATAGCATTTTAACTTTTTTTAAATGAACAATAATTTAAAAAAAGTTAAGCCAGGTTTTAATAGTAGTTAAATCATGTAGGCCCTAGGTCATATATCAAAAGGCTAAAGCAGTTTACTGCTAGAATATCATAAGTCAGTATAGATCAATAGATAGACCTACTCAGTTACAAAAAGAAACAAAGAAGTACAAAGATAAAAAATTTACCATGTACAAAAAAACTTAATGACACATTGTGGCGGAACCCACATAGAAAGTTCAAAAGAGGTTGAACCAAGAAACACATATCGAAGGGAAGTTGAAGCTGAACCTATAAAGATGGACTATACCTAATATCAGGAAAGATGACTCATGAGATCTGTTGTTGGCTGCTTACACCCTGGCTGATTTGATTGGCAGATTATTTTACTATTATTTTCCCTTTTAGAAATCTAACTAGATCTAATAAATTTATTTTTGACTTTTGAGATCTTTACATTAAAGATACAGAAATCTATTCTAGTTGCTCTGGTAGGTCTAGTTCTATTTAACAGTGGATTGAGTAGATTCTAAATCAGGAAATTTTAAGTGTTTAAGTTAATAACTTAAAGGGTAATCTATAGTTTTAGCTGTGTAAAATCAGCCAAGGCTAGTAATGTGAAAAAAATTTGCCTCTTTGTTAAGGTTTTAATAGAAGTATGTGATATATGTGTGTCAAAAATTATAGATAACTGAATAACAAACCAAAATCCATGGCTAAATGAGGTCGGCGTGGTCAAGTCGGTAAAGCTCATGGTTGCTAAACCGAAAACTCTCAAGTTCGAACTCACAGGCAGATGAGGCCCATTGACAGCCACTCTTCTAGGAGAGAAAACTCCAAAATCAAACAACTGTTACCTTGTAGATTGTTCTTGGTTGGACAAAGGCTATGAAATTGGAGTCAATGGCCTCAATGGCGCACAACCAGTTGACGCGTATACTTGTGTTGGAGGGGATCTCTTCCAACACAATAATTACGAAGGAAGAATGGCTAAAATATATCACTATAGGACAGAAATAAGCTTAAAGCAGCTGTATATTAGAGTGATTTCCCCTGAATCTCTAATTATAATTTTACCAAAAAATACTTAAAGATGGCTGCTAAAGTAAAAGGCTTGCTTTGCAATGAAAACATTGCTAGTCTTCATTTATTACTGAAAAGTTGTAATGCAACTGCTTGAAAACAGGTAGATCTACATGAATGAAAATTTTTTGTAACTTTTAAAACATAAGTCCTCCAAAAAATTTGAAATAATTATTAATTAGGGCCTAGGCCTAGGCCTACTAACGTTTAACAAGTCACCTTTTTTTCACACTATACGTGCCTAAAACCATAGATTACCACTTCTTAAAGTCGTAAATATTATTATTACGAAGTGACTATTCAGAAAAAGATTTTTTGCCCCAACGTCTTTATCTAGTCAGCAAAAGATAGCTCTGCGCATGCGCAGTGACCTGCGGCTAGGGTTAGGGCATAGGGGTCTGCGGTTGTAAACACACGCATGCGCAGCAGTACCATAAAAAACATCGCCGCTAAGGCAAGTCGTAGTTTCCCTCCATTGCACATGCGTATCTTTTTCCGGCTAGCATGGGCCTTATTATTATTAAGCCCTAATTATTATTAATTAATTTTCGATTTAATAATTAAATCAATTATTTTTTAGCTAGATCTAGTAGATTCTATACCTAGAATCTGAGCCTAGTCCTAGACTTCCATATCTAGAATTTGTAGAATCTAGATCTAGATTCTAGTAGGTCTAGACTAGATCTAGATCTATAATATTAAAATACGCTCAACCGGAGGTGAACGTGAAGCGGCGAATAAAATGGAATTTTGGTAATCTATCGTTTTGGGTACGTAAAATCGCCCGCGACTAGTAATGTGAAAAACAGGTGACTCCTTAAACTTTAATAATTATTTCACATTTTGAGGAGGATTTGTGTTTTGAAAAATACACAAACGAAGTGTCTATTCACAGTCGACTGTGAATAGCCGTATTCACGTGACCGTTTTTGATAGATTTAATGTTAAAAATACCTAACATTGGGAGTGGCTGCCGTGCCAGAAGGTGTGGGTTCAAATCCATCAGATGCCCTATTTTTATGACTTTTAATCTATGCCTTTCAATCTTAATATCAAAATATTTTTTCAGTTACTTATGTTACTCATCAAAGGGTTACTTTTGTTAATTTTTTTTTTGTGACGTTATTGTTGGCATATCAGCAAAAAAAAAAAAAAAAGAGAGGAAAAAACACAAAAGTGTGATGGAACCTGTGAATTATAGCTGATTTGATTATATTCTAGTGTATAGATTTAGAGTGCATAATTGATCATCTATGACCTACGTAGCCTGTAGCAGATATGTCTGATATGAACCTAAAAGCTAAACTAAACTTTAATTGTAATAACTTTTTTATAGCCTAACAAAATAAAAATAGCACTGCTCTCTTAATCTATACCTCATTCCCCAGTCACAATAAATGCTTTTATTATTTTAAGATATTATTCACAGTCGTATTTAGCATGAAATGACAGCCGACTGTGAATAGCCGTATTGGCCCTATTGGGGCTATTCACAGTCGGCTGGGAATAGCCCCAATACGGCTATTCCCAAACGGCTGGGAATAGCCTTGGCCATACACAAATGTTTCCTTGTTTTATTTATGTAGATCTACCTGTTTTCAAACAATTGAATTAAAACTTTTCAATAATAAATTAATACTAGCGATGTTTCCAACAGATGCAACCATGCTCATTTACTATAGCAGCCATCTTGTTAAAGTTCTTTCTTTG